GAGAATATGGTGTGGTGTTTTCTGTTCTAATTAAAACCCAGGTGCACTGTGGATTTGGACCTGCATTTTTATGTTTTTGAGTCTTAGGCGTGTCGTGTCCCAGACAGAGTCTGTGTTCAGGAAATCCTGCTGTGTACGGTGGTTGGGGTCTCCTTTTCGTGCGTGTCAGCCCCTCGTGGATTGCTGCTTGTCAGGTGGTTATGAAGGTGATAATGAACCTCCCGCTCTGCTCCCCGGAGTGACAGGTCAGTAACCACGTGCTCCATGGCCATACAAGTGCAGTGGTCTTCATGTAATTTTCATGGGAGAGGGGGGATGGGACCACCACCTAAGACGAGGAGGTTGATGCTTTAAGTTGCCATGAACTTTTTTTTTTCCTAATTGGAAGAGGGGGTGGTGACTATAGGAGTTCTGGAGCTGGAATTGTTGGGCTTAACCGGTATCTGCAGCTGTCACTAGTGGTAAGGGGTTGAATGCTATTTAAAAAGGAGGATCCATTAAATCAACTGAAAGTTCTTAACATATGGAAATGGCTGATGTTAATTATTTTGCAACAGTTCTTTGTAAATAATATCATTTAAAAAAATTGAAATTCACCTCCCTTCCTGCATTGATGCTTGAGCCAGGTAATTTTGCTTTTGGGTAAATTAAAATCAAAACTTGACCAATTTTGTTTCTTGAAGTGACTTAGTTCTAACCCACTATTTCACCTTAAGGATGGCATGATTTGTTAAGGATGGACTTACGTGAAGTTTTTGATTTTTCAATTAAACTCACATGAAGTAATTGTCAGCACTTGAGTCTGGTTATGGATTAGGCAGATAGGAAAGTATTGTTAATCGTTGACCCTTGGAATAACAAGAACTGGAAATTGGGAAATTGAAAAAAGTTGCCTTTAAACATCTCGAGTAGAGAACTCTTACATTAGTGAGATGTACTTGAATTTCAAAACTTAACAGAAATTTTTATTACTTTTTATTGAAAACTGCACTGAACGCTAAATGTCCACCTTTACAATAAACAAATACAGTAACGGTAACTCACACTAAAACAAAACATATTTCTGATAGCCATTATTTTTCTGTTCGGGACAATTTTAAAGTTTTTTTTGTCACAAAAACAGGAATGTACCTATACAAAGGCTCAAAATAGGCCATCTTTTAAACAAAAAGGCGATGATTCACAAAAGACTATGAATATAACATGTAACTAGTTGATACAAATCTAATAGGATTTGTTAAAATCAGTCACATCTAATAACACACCTGAAGTGTTCTTGTATAAAATATCACGTGAAGAAAAGAAGACTTTATCAATAATGTCTAAAAAAGTGGGTTTGTTCATAGACAATCTGACAAGTTACCATAAAAAGTGTTTCCTGAGACATAAGGAAATGCAACATTATTCTTGAACCCTTTCAGTTCAAGACTTTCCACTCAATAAAATAGCTGAGGATCTGAAACTGAGAAAATATATTTGAGTACAAACAGCTTGTGAAACTTAATACTTTTTTTTTTTGCATCATCAGAGGGTATTACTGAACTCACAGCCAACTTGCCCGCTCGGTGTGCAGTTCAGGTGGGAGCGACTTCTCTGCACGGGAGCTGGTACTGTCTCCAGGCCTGTGCTCTTGGTCGTCTCACACGGCAGACAGTCTTCTCCCCATTCTGTAGTCATTTACTCTTCCTATCAGCAAAAGAGGTAACCAGCCCCCGTGGACCGAAGGGACTAGAGTCACAGGATGGGGATTTCCTCTTAATATTTTTTATTTTGATGTTTAGAACTCTCGATGCAACATTCTAGAGCAAGGTGTTCAGGACCTGCTGTGCCCAAGGGACTGATAAAGGAAAAAGATCTATTTATTCTTTGTGATTTGATGCACAGATGAAAAACTTAACACACAATAACAGAAGTTGGTCGTTAATAAATCACGTCCTAGTCTTTTTCAGCGCTTCCGTAAGCAGATGCCATCTTCAGTTTTCCCACGTCTCGGCTTCTAGCTCTTGTAGTTTTAACACTGCAACGTCAATGATGCATATGTCCAGAATCAGTTAAAAAGGCTGTCAAATTCCTTTTCTCTTAGTTCATCTATTTTTCACTGTCTCTTGGTCCCAGGTGTATCTAAGCGATTACCTTTCATCCTCCTCTGCTATTGCTCGTTGGGGTGCTCTCGATTGTCCCCGTGTTTTGTGGGCTGGTTGGGAGAGGGAGCTTGGGAAGGATGTGCCACTGTGGGGAGGTTGTGGGTCACTGGGATGCCTCCGGGAATGATCCCTTCCATGGCTGCAGGAAGTCCTCCCGGAGCCACGCCCACAATGCCTGGCGGGTATCTAGGGAGCACACAAGAGAAGGGAACAGTTGAGTCCAGGGCCAGAAATTGCCAGGCTCTTGACTTTGCCCGCTTGTGATCTTTTTTAATGGGATAGTTTGTTACGGAGAAATCTACATAAAGAATTTAAATATTGACATCAAATTCATAAACAGCAAAGCCAATCTAGTTCAATCAAAACACTAATTTTGTAGCTTTCACACAATAGGAACAGCCCATACTAATTATGCCTGTGAAAACTGTGTTGCACTTAGAACATTTTTTGTGCAAAATAGACCCTACGTTTTCTGGTTGCTTGAGAAAGTATTCATCAGTTATATCAATGGATTTAATAACTTCCTGACAGCACGAAGTACTCTTTGGTACCATGTGATGTCCTAGGCTGGTTAGTTACAGCCCGAGATGGGAAAGGGGACAGGGCAGCAGGGGCACTGGTGAGCTTGTGATGGGCTGGATGTCTGCCCTCTAAGGACAGACGCCTGGAGGGCACCTGAATGTAGGCTCATCCCGTTTCAGGCATGAGTGGGGGTGTATGTGTGTACGTACATTATGCACTAATGTGATTCAGGATAAACATTTTTCTGAGGACGAAACATACTTTAGGATTAAGTCTACTCTTGAATTTATTTATCCCTTCACACTTGTGGTAAAGAGGATGGTCCCTCCCTGTGGAAGCTGTGCTCCCCCCACCCCCGACCTACAGTGACACTGGTCAGAAATCTCAGGGACTGCCTAGGAGGGCTGATGGATAGGGGTCCCTGTGAGCTGCCTCTCAAGCACAAGCAGTATGTCAAGGGGCCAAGGAGCCTTGCTCAGTCTGAAGGAATAATTGAAGACCACCAACATGAATGAATGGGAATCCAGTCTGGTGCTGTGATGGGCTCAAGTGATGCTTGAAAATGCTTATAAGTGGATCCTATTACACAAACTCCCCCCGTTCTCTGTGGTTAGAGCAGTGGTTCAAAATGGGATCTTGGGCAAAGTCTGAGACATTTTTGGTTGTCACAGTTGGGGGTGGAGGCTGATACTGGCCCCTGGTGGGCGGGGGCCAGGGCTGCTAGTCTACATCCTGCAGTGCACAGGCCCAGCCCCGCGAGAGAATGATCAGGCTCAGCATGTGAGTGCTGGGGCAGCCCCGGGTCAGATAAGCAAAACGGCTTTCCTTCTGGGATTCCAGGCTGCAGCTTCTCTCCTTTATGCTGGAGGAACCCGCCATGCTGAGGCAAGAGAACCATACAAAACCACCACAAACAAAACCCTGGTCCCTTCCGAGGGGTCCTGGCTCATGTCCCCAGTGCAGGTTCTCTTGCCTCAGTCACACTCAAATCCTCCGTCACATCCCCAGTGTCAAACTTTCTGCTTCACGAAGACACAGGCTTGTGCGAGGACCCGCTCCCAGCCAAAAGACTGGGCACTTGGGCCAGGATAATTCCCTTGTGCAGAACATTTGAGTCAGAAAGCAAAATCGGGCCCTTTTCCTTGGTGATCTTCTCCGTACCCTTTCACCTAGAAACCCTCTGGTTTGGGAGTGGCTTTGGAAAGGGCGATTCCTCGCGGTGTTCAGACCCGTTGGGGAATGCACAACCCCCCCCCATTGGAATTCTAGTTCTTGGCTTTGTCTCGAAAGTTCCGTGTGTTCCGTGGAAATCAGGCATGAAATGTATGCAGCTCCCACAGAGAAGACTAAGGGCTGGGTTTTCCTCAGTGCCCAGGCTGGCTTGCTGTCCCCTCTCCTCCCTCCCTCTAGGCTCAGCTGGGCGGAGCCCATTCCTCTCCTCACCTGTACGTGGCACCATTGAGCTCTGGATGGATTGCTTGCTGATCTATTACTGACCAGGGAGCTGTTGTGACGAAGAATTCCTTGTTCACACAGTTTCTTAAGCTTTCTGGGATGCGACCTGGAATAAGATGATTGAACTTGATCACATGTATTTTTTTAAGGTCCCATTGACTTAAGATCTTACACTTAGCTGCCACGGGGGGGGGGGACGACAAGCTGCAATGCAGGTCTCATAATCAAGTCTCTTACTCTTAATAGGAGAGGTGGGCTCTTAAATTTCCACAAAATTTGAACTGTTCAAAGTTCAAAGGCCGGAGCAGCACTGGCCTTCAGGCAGACAGAAAGGAGCACTCCCTCTCCCCTCCCCAGGCTCATCTTCCTTCCACAGTTTGCAAAACGTCCATTGGCTAATACAAAAGGGAACTGGTTTCCTCTGAAATAAACAGGGCCTGACTCATTCAAAATTTAGCCAGCGTGACCCCTAAAGACAAAGCCCCCGGAACCCGTTGCGTGCATCTGTGAGCAGGACTAGAGGAGGCCGCAGGGCGGCGGGCGGGCTCACCTGTGATTGCCCGGCGGATCTCCGTGGCAGCGGCCTCCCGCATCTCCAGGGAGGCCTGCTCACTGTACCAGGCCGTGTGGGGCGTACAAATGAGATTCGGTGCATCTTTCAAGGGACCCTGAGCAAAGCTAGATGAATGTACGAAAACACGGTAAATGAGAAAAGGTGAATGCACTTCACTCCCCGTCTTCCTCCTCAAAAGGGAGCTTTTGGCTGTGGGGGTATTAGCCACAGACACGCTGGAGGGGCTTGTGCAGACCTTTCCTGAGGGCTGGGACTCTAAGGATATGCTCATAAAGCTGCTCTGTAACTAGCGTCAGGAGAAATCAGGGACTCAGAAAGAAGGAACAATTCTATGGGGGGCCGACCACCTGCCCTCCAACCAGGACAAACAGTCCAGGGCACAGACAAATCCTGCTCCGCTCCACCACCATTTCCTGCCTCTCCCTGTTCCGATGATCTCTGGGGAACTTCTAGCCCTTTTACAGTTAGTTAGAAAACAGCACAACCCTTAAGGAGGCTGTAAACTTTGCCTCCAGTTTCATATCCAAGACCTGTTTGTCTGGGAAGGTGCCCAAGTTCAAAGTAGGGGTCAGGTGTAGAGGTGGGTCCTGTAAGTTCCCATGCAAGTCTTGAGCTCCGACTACACACGTCTTGGCCGTCTCATCAAACCCACCTGAAAGGCTCCGACTCGTGCACGTCGAGGGCCGCCCCTCGTATCCGGCCTTCCTTGAGGGCTTGGGCTAAGGCTTTCTCGTCCACCAGTCCGCCGCGGGCCGCGTTCACTAGAAATGCTCCTTGCCTCATCTGCGAGGCAGAAAGAGAAGCTGGTTAAACCGATGCTGCTGCATCAGGAGGCGTGGGGTGGGGGTGGAGCCGCGGGCCAGTGGAGGCTGGTGGGTCTGGCTATTTAATGCATGTGCAGCAGGTCGGGGTGGGGAAGGGAGGGCAGAGTCTCAGGACAGCTGGAGGCCAGGGGTCAGCTCCTGAGATCCCGAGAGGGGACCACGAGGTGGCAAGGCTGGAGCTGTGACCTGCTGGGTCCTGGGCCAGCTCCCTGTCCCTCCCTGCTCACCATGGCCCACCCCGAGGAGGTGGCCTCACCCAGCTCCTCACTGATGTCTCAGGGACTTTCTTCCCTGCTCACTGGTGTGTCTGTCCATGGCCCATTTCCCATCCCCCTTCCATTTTGACAGAAGTTTCCAGGGTCTGAGCCCATCTATTTCAATTTACCTGCTTTTGGTAGAACGCATGCTCAGCACCCAAGAGGTCCTGGGTTCAATCCCCGGTACCTCCTCCAAGTGGAAATCAATGAAGAAACCTAATTACCTCCCCCTCAGCAAACAAACAATACAAGCAAAAACATGTGCTTTCAATTTACCTGCTTTATGGTAAAGTCGTTGATGAGGTGGTGGTTATGTTCGTTGAGATTGCAGTGCAAGGAGACGCAGTCGCTCTGATACAGTAAGTCCTGCAGGGTGTAGACCCTCTGGACGCCCAGGGACCGCTCTATCCCGTCCTGCAAGTAGGGGTCATAAAATATGACGCTGAATCCGAAGGCCTTGGCTCGAACAGCGACTGCCTGCCCCGTGCGACCTGTGCAGAAAGAGAGCGTCCAGGTGAGCAAGCCTGTCCTCGCAGCGCCCTGGCCCCGGCCCTGCTGCCTTCATTATTTCTGGGAACTGGAGCCCGCGCTAGCCGTCCCCACTGGCAGCTGGGCCCAGCTGGTGGCAGCTGCAGGAGGAAGCGGGTGCCCAAAGCTTGGTGACACCCAAGGCCAGCACTTCTCCCCGGGTTACTGGGGCAGAAGCGTGGGGTGGGGGGACACGCTTCCCGGGTGACCGACCACTGCAGAGTCTGCCTGTGCTTGCTGCCAGCGTCTTTTCCCCTTAAGTTCCTATTACGTACATTTTCAAACATAAACACAACTAGAGAGAGCATGCCAGTGAAGTCCTCGTGCCTGTCCCCGCCGCCCCCGCTCCCAAACATCACCAGTGTCACCCAACTTGTACTGATCCATTCCCTGCTTTGTTCATACAGCTGTCTCCCTAACCTGGGCTTCGCCTCTATTGATGCGCCTCTCTATTGCTCTCAGCATCTAACAGGGACTGTTCTCCCGCATAATCACCACTGGGTTTGCTCGTGAGGGGCAGAATGATGGAAACAGCACTGCGGTCTGGCTGAGAGGCGGGGCTCTGAGCCTGCACGGAGTGTGGCCAGGCCTCCAGCAAGTTAGAGAGTGATGTCACCTAACAGGACATGAAGGCCTTCCCGACTCCCAAGTGGCCGTCATTTGTGAAAATCCACTGATCCCAGAGCAATTTTCAGCTTGAACACAAGGTGGTTTGAGTAATGCTTGAATGGGCTGATTTGGGATGTACACAGAATAAATCTTTATTTAAAACCATTGCTCCGATGTGCAGTGGGGGGAGAAGGGACTAAGGGAAGAGGCACCTCCCCAAAGGAAGCCCACACCAGGCGCCTGCTGGTGGACCATCTCGCCCTCCTACTGAACTGTGACCTGATTGGGCAGGACCAAGACAACTGCCTGAGTTTGGAGGCAAAAGTTTATTAAGGCCATTCTGATCCAGAGGAACAGCTGCAGGATCACCAGCGGGTCATTACCCCTCATGTCATCCCTCTTCAGTGTCACCACTTGGACACAGTGAACCAGGGACTACAGCCACACACTGCGGAGGGCAAGCACAACAGACGGGGACAGGGCAGGAAGAACGGCAGTGACTAAAGACCCTCCTCTGATGTGCTTGATATTCGGGACCAAGGACTCGCAGTGAGTGGCTGCTGTCAGGAGCCGTGGAAACGTGTTCTGCCACGTGGCCCAGCCACGCACAACTTGAGTCTCTGCATCCTGGCCAGAGGCCCCCGGGGCCGGGCAGGGGCTCAGGCACGCACGATGTTCTAAGAACCATCTCCGAGAACCGCTTCCCAGAGCAGCAGGGGGTCTGGTGGGCACCAGCAGAGGGCGCTGTGGCTCAAAGAGCACCGGCATTTCTTAGTTATTTTGTATTGTCCACTCCAGAAATATGCAGACTCTTTCGTAAAAAGATTTAAAAGATTAGCTTCCTGTGTATGATCATTCCTGAAACCTGGGTTCTACAGCTCAGACCTGGGTGCTGGAAAGATGTGCGTTCCTGGAAGGAGTCCAGCTCCTGCCTGTTCAAGCAGGCACCCGGCCTCCGGATCAGGGACTCGGTGGGGGAAGAGGCGGCCCTGTGGCCATCCCAGCAGTCCTGCCCCTCAGGTAACTGGAAACAGAGCTCAAGCAAAGGGCTGAATGACAGCTGAGGAGCCTCCTGGAAGCCAAGCCCCACAGTCGCAACTCACTCCATGTGGCCCCCAATTTACAGGCTGGGAAACTGAGGCAGAGAGAGGCTGAGGACTTCACTCAAGGTCACAGAGCTGGTAAAGGGGAGCTGAGATTCGGCACCAATAAGCAAGGCACCCTCCTGTTTGCAGTGTTGGGGCTCAACTCAAGCCCTGTGTTGTTCACAGCCGCGCCATCGGGCTGCTTTCCACCCAGCTCACCTCCTGGGTAAGCTGCCCCAGGCCCTCCTGGGGTCGCCAGCTGAGTCTCATGTGGACAACAGCCGAATCCAAGGAGACCTCTACTTGCCCCCTCCCCTCGGGTGAGCTTTCCAAGGTGATGGCCTGACCATGCCACCGCTGGCTCAAAATTCCTCAGTGACTCCCTGCTGCCACCCCCACCCAGCATCTGAGGGCCTCCAGGTACTGCCCAGGTCACCGCTCGGCCCCCAGCCTGCTCGTTTCTCCACCACGCACCTCTACACGCCCTGCCCCTCACCCTCTGCCCGGGCACTGGGCAGGCCCTCCTTCTGCATTCCCTCTACCCAGCCACACCAGACCCATTCTTCCAAAAGCAGCCCAGATCCCACTTCTAGGTGATTTCCCTGATCAGTCTGGACCTCCGACCTCCCACCCCATGTAGCTCGGCGGGGGGCATTAGCCCTCCTCTGGTGCAAAACCCAACCTCCCCCGTCAGGCCATCCCTGCACTCCTCTGGGGCAGGACTGGGTGGGGTCTGCTGCCCCTGAGGGGTCCCTGCAGCAGCCCCAGGGGTGTAGGGGGACGGGGCGGAGCAGCTGCACGTACCGAAGCCAATGAGGCCCAGCGTCTCCCCACGGATGCGGGCTGCTCCCGACGCCACCTCCCGGATCTGCTCGACGCTCTGTACCCGCGTGCCTTCCCGCAGCGCCTGGTACAGCCACGTGTTCCGCCGGTAGAGATTAAGGATGTGGCAAATGGTGGAGTCGGCCGTCTCCTCCACTGCCGCGGACGGGATGTTGCACACGGCGATCCCTGGAAACACAAGGGTGAAGACGGGATGAGAATCCCTGGAGTTCTGGGGGAAGAGCTCCAGGGCTCCCAGTCCACGCAGCTGAGGGACAGGGGGACGGGGCAGAATGAGCCCACTCAGCCACTAACTGCAGGTGTGGCCCTGGGCAGGTCAGGGTCCCTTATCACCAGACGCCTGCTTGTTGCCAGGAGGACACAGACCCTCTGACTCTGATGCTCAGGGGCCTTGGGCCCCAACATCCCTCCCAGACAACAACGTGTGGCTCAGCCCCCAGCCTCCCACTGACCCCATGTCCTGCCCACCCAGTGCTTCCGGACCCCATTCTCTGCGAAGCAAGCAGAGGGCAACTGGAGTGGGGAGGTGGCCAGCTCTGACCACCATCCACACCCAGTGCCAGGAAAACTGTAAACCTGTGAACCCTAACATTCAGTCCTGGAGTGGCGGGAAGCCAGTGTACAGGGGCCCCTCCTGACAGGCCATGGGGTCCAGAAGCCCAGAGATTCCTTGAGATGCACCGTGTGGGGTCCTCCCCACAGGGTGGGGCTGGGGTAACAGACTGGCTCTTTGTTTCATGGTATTTTAAGAGTCTAATGCAATAAACATGTCATTGCTTGTTCTTTAAAAGAATGAGAAAATTTAGAAACTAACACCTTCACCCCAACATGGGCCCATGGGCTGCACAGCATGGAGCTGATGTCTGAATTCAGCCCTAATCACCATCCTGCTCCGGAAGAAAGAACACAGAGCAGACAGGGTACCTGCCCTGCTTTTTGAAAGGGATTTTAGGGCTAAGAGCAGCTGGTGGAGATGAGCCCTCAGGCTGTGTGAGGAACAGGGATGATGCTCAGGAGGCTCCTGGCACCAGGGGCCTGAGGCTGAGGGGCTCAGGGAGAACTGGCCCAAGTCTCAGGCAGGGAAGGCCTGGGCGCTGACCTTCCTCAGTGGGGGCTGTTTTAGGGAGGGATGGGAATGTTTGCCAGATGTGGGAGGGGTGGGCACACAGAGGGCCAGGCTGGGGACAGTCCCCTCCTGCTGCCCACCAGGCCTAGGTCTAGCCCCTCCCGGCAAGGGCTGGGATGCAGCAGAGAGCAGAGGGGCCTCACCAGAGATGGGGCTGAGTGGCGGGGGCAATTTGGTTTGCCAGTCAAGCAACTTTCTGAGGGATGCTGCTGTCCAGGCAGTGTGGTGGCCCAGCTCACAAGGCTCCCTCTTAATCCCAGGTTTGGGACCCAGGGAGAGACACCCAGGGACGCAGGGCCAGGCCATGTGTAAGGCAGCCCTGCATTCCACTGTCTTCTCAGGGCGGGGCCGAGGCAGAGAGCACCTGCAGCTCCCTGGACAGAAAACCGGACCAACCGTGCGGAGCATCCCTTCTAGGAGCTGCACCGTCCCCCTTACGAGGTGCCCAGAGGCACAGAGTCCCAGGGCCGCCCGCAGGAGAACAGACAGCTCTCAGAGGGCAAGCTCCTCCAGCACAGTGCCCCCCGGCCCCGCCTGGCCACAGCCACGGGCCAGGGGTAGTGTCTGAGATCCAGGTGGACAAACTTTCCATAAGCTGGAGGTCAGTCATCTTACAACACCCACTTGCTTTGAATTCACCAAGCACAGAATCTGGGGCTAGACTAGAAGTCTCGGAATCACTGGACAGATGCAGGCAGACACCAGAGGTTTAAGAAAATCTTTTGGCAGTTGGGACAATCTTCGTTCCTCCACGGGGATCCATCTGTTCCCATGGGGAAGGTCCACCAGCAGGACAGCCGAGTGTGGACTGTCTACTGCAGACACAGCCAACTGCCTGGGCCCAGGGGACTGGTGGCGCCTGGGAGGCGGGACAAGACGCGATGAAGCCAATGAAAGAATCCTCGGGGCCACGAGATGAAGTGTTGATCAGCCCACCCAGCAGATGAGGAACTGAGTGCAGACATCTCTCCACTCACACTAGAGGTTTTAAATTTAGCTCCTGGCTCTGTGTTGGGAGCCTGAGACCAAGGTCTGGGAGAGCGGGTACCCGGGCTTGGGAAACAAGGACTGGGAGGGGGCGCTGCCGGCCTCCCTTGGGACCTCCTCCCTGATGGCAGAAATGCCAGAGGCCTGCCCACCCTGCTTAAGGGGGTTCCTATTCAGTCTCCATGCTTTCAAGGTGATTCCCCAAATACCATCAGGACCAGCTGCCAGCGCTCGCAGAGCAGCGCTGCAGCCCGCATGGACCCCAAGGTCCAGACCCAACAGCCGAGTTGCTTTTCCTCTCAGTCCACGCTTTTGCTCTTTGCTCTAACGCCTTCTGAACTGGACCAGACTGGACAGCAGACTAACGCGAAAGGCTCACAGAGTGAGAATGCTCAGCCCGTGTCCTGGGCCCCGGCTCTCTCTAGCACCTTCCACCTCCCGCTGCTTCTTCCTGGACCTTGGGGTCACACCACAGACGGGGAAATCCTCTACCAGCCCAGGCATCGTCCTCACCCGCGGCAGGTGGCCCTGGGCCCCGATGGCTTCATGAACGGCCTGCGTGCGCTGGAGGGGAGCTGCCCGCCTGGGAGCACACGGCCCAGGCCCGGACCTTGTCAGGAAGGGCCGAGCCCTGAGCTGCCTGCTCTTCTGTCCTCGTTACGGATCAGCCGACCAAACGAGCTGCGAAGGGCATTTGGAGACCAAGGATGGCTGGACAGACAGACACCCACTTTCCTTCTACAGAGTCCACGTTTGAAAACTGCTCTTCAAAATGGCCCAGCAGATGTCCCCAAGCAGCTTCCTTATCAGATTGGAAGAGTCAGTGAAAAGGCCACCGCAGACTTGCCGTGTACATCTTTCAAGACTAGCTGTCCTCTGTGGGTGGACTCTGGGAACCCGGCCTCCTTGACCCGGGCTCAGCCCCTGCCTATGGGTTCAGCTTCTGCAACTGCAGAGACAGGAAGTTTCACTTGCCAGCACCTCCCATCCTTCCCTAGAGAGAAGTGGTGGGGTCCCGGGAAGGAAGTCCGATGTCACAAACGCTGCAGGCTGGGGTGTCGCAAGGGGCAGAGGCTGTGGGGACGGGAGGTGTGTGAAGGGAAAGGACCAGAGAGTCTCCTGGTGCTCAAGCCACATTCTCCGTCTCTGCTGGAACGTGGGATTTCAGCTCGAGAGCACAAAGAACATTTGTTTTCAAACAAAAACATTCTTTCGGTGCCAGGGAAAAATGGAAAATTTTAGTTTATATCAGACATGCTTCTGAAGACTCACGTCCTCCCAAGTTTCTTTGTGGCAACAAAGAGGGGCTCAGAGTGATGCCGGGGCTGGAAGCAGAGGCTCGGGCGGACGTGGGGAGCAGCCACTTCCCCAGACCCCATAATGAGTCTGGAATCCAGTGTGACCCCTTCTCTCGTACAGGGCCCGACGACCCCTGGTGGGGCTGACATGATGGGGTCTGGCTGAGGGGGGCACCCAGAAAAACTGGGATCAACCTGAGCCACCTGCTGCACAGCTCCCCACTTCCAGGATGGGGGAGGGAGGAACAGCACCCTCGGGGCAATGACCACCCCCTAGGGGGCAACCCCAACCTGCTGCAGCCACGTTCCCGGACCACCTGCCACTTCGCAGAGCAGCCGGGCCCCATCACCAAGAAACAGACCGGACTCAGCACCACTTAGAAAAGGCCCACCATGGCCCGGCTCCCCATCCTGCTTGCGCTCACGAGACTCACCCTGCAGCTCACGTACGTGAGCACGGCCCCAGTGCAAGGCAGGGAACAGACAAACCTCTAACACAAATCCCTGCCCCTCAGTCCGACCCCCAGGCTGGGACCGAAGCCCAGCGGGGTTCCCGCGGCTGAAGAGGCAGCAGGCAGGTGTCTGTGGGCTGCGGCCAGAACTGTCAGGTCACACGCTTGTCGGTGCCCGAGCTCAGGTGTGATGCTGAGCTGACTGTGCAAGGCACTGCATACCCGAGCCTGCCCCTGGAACCCTAGGGCTGAGGGGCTGACTAGGGATGGGGCAGGCCGGGGCATAAAGGCCTGGGTTCCCAGCCATTTTGCAGTCCCTCTTATCAGCCTCATGGCTTCAGGGCACCGGGCAGATCACAGCCCTCCACACCAGGTGCAGGGGGCAGGACTGGCTATTTCAAAATCAGAGCAAGGATGGTGACCAGAGAGGGGCTTGTCTAGAAGGACCTTCTTGGCCCCTCCAAAGACAGAACAGCAGCCTGGGGACCTTTCCTATTGAAGCTTGGCGCCCGCTGCCCCTGCAAAGGCACCTTGCACTCAGAGTCCACGCCAGGTGCCGAGGCAGGGAGGCCACCACGCCGAGGCCCTCTCTCAGGGTGCTGGCAACCAGAGGTGCGGAAAGCAGCTGGGAACCCTGCCTCGGAGTGTCCATCTGCTGCCTCTGCTCCTCTTTGCACACCCCTAAAGGCAAGGGCTGGGCAGGAGGTGCTGGG